GAGGGCGGGGGGAGAGGAGGGCAAAACAAAACAACATAAAACCCCAAATGCAACAAAATCGCAAAGGCAGAGGTGGTGGTGAGGAGGAGGAGGGAGGGTGGCGGGTTAACGGAATGTCCGATGAGCTCGCACGAGAGCGGAAGTCGCGCCTGCGCGCGCGCACACACAGGAGGGGGGGGGGCGATGCAGCACGTGTGTTAAAAGATGCTTTGCCAAACGAGCATGCGACCGGGTGCGACAGAGAGCGAACTTAAATGCCCCCCCCCTCCCCTCTCCAGCCCCCAAAAAAAAAAAACAACTCAAAAGAAAGTGATCCAACACCAGACATCGACCTCACCCGAGCAGAAACACGATGGAGTTCAGACAGAAAAAAAACAACACAACCGCGCCGTGGAGAAGAGAGAGCTTGTCGGACGGGAAAAAAAGGGAAGGAGTTCGCTGCCGACGGGAGGTGGGAGCAGGCTTTCTCCTGGGCGCTGATCTGGGGGAGATCCTGGTCAGTTTAGGTGTAATGGAGAGGTTACCCTGCGCGGCGCTGGAGGTGATCGAGTCTGCGCCCGCGGCCGTCAGTTTTAAGAGCTCTCCGTCTCTGGAGTCCTACCCCTTTCCCCCTTCTCGCCCTTTCTGTCTGAACTTGTTTTGACAAAGTCGTTCAGACTCGCTCGTCTTGCCCCTGTGCGGTTCCAGCTGGGGACTGTGCCCCGCCCCTCCGCGGGTCAAAGTTCGAGACGGTCCCAGGTTTGCCTGTTTCCCCCTTCCTCCGCCTCGCTCCCAGGGGACGGGAGGGAGTATTTTGCCCCTGTAACACATCTGGCCCCAAGTTCTCCTAATGAGGACAAACTGTCTGATCTCCTAATGGCGATCTGGCCCCTAGTTCTCCTAATGAGGACAAACTGTACAGGCAAAGTCCCACTGCCTCAATCTCTCCCAGTGCCTCAGCTCTAACCCCTAGCCTACACTGCCTCCCTCTCCCTCTCTCCCAGTGCCTCAGCTCTCACCACTAGCCCACACTGCCTCCCTCTCTCTCTCTCCCAGTGCCTCAGCTCTCACCACTAGCCCACACTGCCTCCCTCTCTCTCTCTCCCAGTGCCTCAGCTCT